TACTCGGAGGAGAACGACGGGGGTGCTACTTGGGTGTAGATTTCTACATTCTACGGTCCATACGAAGGTCCAATGGACGAGCTTGAAGAATATAAAGGTCTCTATTTCACTTCGTTATCGCGTCACGGTGATCAAAGGTGTGGCGGACTTCGCGAAGACGCGAAAGAAATGACGTCCGATGAGCCCTCGGACGATTCAACGAATTGTTTTTGTAGCGAAGGTAAGCTGAGCTCTCGAATTATGGTCCCCGTGATCCTTCCTCCCATAATTATAACACAAGAAGATGACGCCACAATAACCGAAACATTAACCGAATATTGTTTGAACCGCAGAATCTGGGCTTCCGTAACTACCATTTTGTTGATGATCCTTAATACTGTCCCGATTGCACGGGCCCACAATTTGTCCAGGTGCTGACTGCTGTGTGACGAAATCTTCGGTGTAGTTTCGGATTCCCTGGAAGTCTTAAAACATTTGTGGACTTTACTACTTATCAGACAAATGCAAAGCTGATGCAACCGTGTATCCACACTCCTCTTCGAGGAACGATGTTTCACTCCGGTAAACGACGATTGCGTCACAAAGGAAACGGGGAATACGCTTAATAATGTTGAACCAATTCAATGCCCTCGAAATTATCAACTTTAAAGTTGACAGATGGATCAGAAACGATTGCTTACAGAGAAGGTGTATCTAGGACAAATTGTATCTCTTGAGTAAATATGGAACGACGTGGCGTAAAAAGAAAGTGGAATCACAACAAACTGCAGTATAATCTCTGTCCTTTTAACTGCAGATTTCGATTGCAGCTGCATCAATAAACAAAACATACGTGTCATTTTATTCTCGGGTAACGTAAACTCGATCCAGTAATTTTCTGAAATGTCCCGCTGTGCGTTTCAACACCGTGTTTAGTACATAATATAAAAAAAATATAACGGAATTACCGTATAAATAATACAGTTCCAGCAAGGCCAAGGCGTACTATAATAACAGTTTTTTATATTCTAGATCGATTTACGACGCATGTTGAACTTCCCAGATACATCGATGCTTCCTATCCTATAACTCTATCTCTATAAATATACATTAACGGTACCAAGGACACTATACAACTCCCCCCCGTTAAATAAACCCTGCCCTTCATTAGACAGCGTAACATAAAAGTCACACACGGTTAATGCATGTGAAAATTGTTCCGGTGTTCTATTTCCGTAATGGAATATACGAGCAGCGCACGCGACGCAGCATTAATTACCGCGATCCAGAGATCGTCGACGATAACAGCTTCCTCTCGAAGGAATGAATCTCACGGTTCGCTGTATTTACACCGCGAAACTGGCGAACGTAATGGATTACGTCTAGCAAATCGAGCGTAAACCGTCGCGATGGAGGTGCGTCTAGTCGCGTTTACGCGTTTATGCTAATCCTCGATACATACGTCGATCCTTCCTTGTAATTAGAATCTCGCCATCTTGACAGAACGAAGCCGTTAGCCTCGCCGGATGACACGACATACCTGTTGCGTGACGTCGGTCGATCCGATCTCTTAAACCGTAAACCGAGGTGCCGAGCGCGTATCGAATTGTCAGTTAATTTGCCTATTAAACGTCCATTTAATTTTCCCGCTAATTTCAGAGGAACGGGACGCGCCACGGAACGGTAATCCACGTAATTACGAGCGACGTCGTTTCGAGAATGTCCATTTCATCCTCGAATGTTTTACGCACGATTGACGGGGCAATTATGCGCTGTTGGGTGAAGAGAAAGGGAAATTATCGGTAGCAATTAAAAAGATTAAAAATGGCATTGTAAGGGAAGGTGCATTGGTGTATGCGATGTAAAACGTGGTTTCTGTAATTAAAAGCGACTAGTGGCCTTGGAATTTCGTTAGTTCATCTGTTGCTGTTATTATTAAAATTCTAATGATATTACGGAAATGCAAGTACCTCCTATATTACCGTAAAATCGTAACTGAGCTTTGACTATCTCTGTTTCTTCACTGATTCTACCATAAAAAGAATAAATGACCTCGAGATAGTCTTCATACTTTCACTGACTCTGCTATAAAACAATGTCTCTGCTTATATACAGGTATACGTGACATTGGACTCTTTTTTATTCCTCCAATAAATCTACTATAAAAACACTACTGACCATCACCAACGACATACACTAAACATGCTACCTAAACGCGAGACTGTTCAGAAACGATGAAATTACGTTGAAGCACATGGTTTACGCGTCTTGTGGTTCTTGGCAGCATTTTCGATCGGGGTAATAATTCGAATCGCTTTTACGACCAGCCTGAATTAACCGGGAGCATTGGTAAGACGTGTCTTTCCTCACGTCGTCTCTCCACGAACACATCCATTTATTTGAATAGGAGATCGACAGTGGGAAAGACCATGAATAGGTGTGTTCAAGAGCAACAGAGAGACCGAATAGAACCAGTTAGAGGCGTCGAAAAGGATCGTGATCGAGAACACGTATATTACACGTATAGAGTCATGCCGAATTACCAGCACGTGAAGCCATATTGCATCACTGGACGTCTGCGCGAGTCGAGGCATTAATAATGACACAACATTGCGAAAATTCGCGGCAACGTGAAGCAATCCGATTTTCTGGAAAATGCGTGCGGTCGCGTCGCGTAAAATGCTGCGTCGATAATGTATCTGCTAAAAGGCCATGATCGATACGGTTAGATAAAGCTGTTCGATTATACGATAAAAGTGATGGACAAAATTTAATACCGCGGTGTGATTCGGCAGTGAAGTGAAATGGTGTTAAGCAAGGTGACAAGTTTATCGAGACAGTGTAGAAATCCGTGTGGGGTTTTTCTTTGTACACGTTATCTGAGGTAAATGATCAAATATATTCGCTGGTGGATAGGTTAACTTCGTTCCGGCATTGACAGATAATACTGATATTCCCCCACTGTATTGCAATCATGATTTTGTTAACTCACGATTTGAATATTATTCAACATCGTTACATACATTGTGGTCAGTCGCAATCGCGGAAAGTTGGTAACGTTGTTTATATGTTAATCTCACTGTCCTGTCTGACATGCATAGCGGACAATCGATTGCGAAAGGAAGAGTGTAAAAAGAAAATTGGACGTTATTAGATTTATTGAAATGTTACTTATCTCTGTCGTCTACGCTTGAGTAATGTGAAGATTCGAAGAGCAAAAAGAATTCAGTCGATAATCTATAAACTACATGTGCGCTCGTGCATGTTTGTTTACTTCCAAGACTCACAGAGGTTAAAAGTTAATTAACATTTTCAAGTTGTAATAACAATTGTCATTAGTAGACTGCGGAAGTTTATGCAAATTTACAATTTCAGATACTAATATCTAAAAATTAAAATGAAGCCGAATTTTGAATTCTGTATCAGAGGATTTTAGTCATAACACGTAAATAGTGTTTAACTTTATTAAAGCCTTCATTTTATTGCATTTTCCAAGTTAAGGAACATTATGAATGCATAAACAACCGCAGTGTAGCTCTTTGCACTCCAAAACACTTTTATTGTAAGTGACTAGAATCCTAAAGATGTATTTGGTGTGTCTGTTCCGAAACGTCTATCTGTGGCTTTCCTAACAACGATTTATAAGATTCATAAAATAAAAATTTCATTCGTAGTGTTTCGTTTGCATTATAATAAAACACAACTTGCTCGTATTTCACGGTATCGCCGCAGAAACGCCAGTGGGGTGCAAAGGGCTAGTCATTAGGAGCCCCAAAAAAATTTCGAAATCTCATCAATTCATCAAAATGGTGTTAGAGTAATTGAACTTTGACGTTCCTCTCAGATAAAAACTGATCACGCGTTTTTTTTTTCATTCAATTCTTTATCTCCAAATTGAAAGTCATTTCACAAGGATGATATCGCAAAACCACGAAAATCGTGAATCTGCATTTTAGCGATTCATACCTTGATCCTTTACGAATCGACGCCCCCATGAGACACGCAGCTCCAAAATTAACTTCGTATCGAAATAAAACATCCCCCTACGGCGATGGCATTCCACAATTTTCCAGAAGGAAGTATTTTTAGTCCCCTCGAGAACGAGACACCAGGATGATACTAGACGGGATTTTTATTGCCGAGCCGGCGGGGGATCCAGAAGAAAGTGTCGGTTGGATCGATGAACGCGTGCACGCGAAAGATTGCGTCATTCGACGCGTGCGCGTCACTTTCATTCCGGAAAATTGCAACACGCGAGAGATTTCGCGCCCTATTATCGCTCCAATCCATACGAGTATGCATGGTTGCGAGCCTAGCCATAACACAGCTCGTATTCACCGTGCGAATTCGCGGGAAAGGGGTAAAACGAATTTAGGCTCCTCTGGGATGCACACGCCTGACGAGTGGCCGTTTCGTCAGCGTCGGTACGCTGGTCCTATGGGAAGTATAAAAAGAGGGGGCAAGGTCACCTCAGCCGGCAGAAGTCTCTGAACTGTCAGAAGAGTCAGACGTGTGCGCGTTGCTTGCTGCGGCTAACAAACTCTTATATAGTAATCAGTGTTTTTCTTTCTTTTCTTGAGTTAAAAGGCAAATAAGGTTAGTGAATGTAGAGTGTAGTAGATTTATTACATTAGAAGTGGGTCGTGTGGTATTTTATTTGAACATTTATTGTGACGGAAGATAGTGTGATATATGTATATGAGTTAACGGTTACGGGCCATGTGTTCAGTCATGGGAAGCACTAGTTCCTCCAGCGTTCTTTGTTCTTTGTTGTGAGAGAAACTAGGTCAAACTAAGTAACGTTGGACGCTACTTAATTGGTGTTACTTGATTGATCGTGTTGCCTTGTGTTGCTTCGTGTTATCAACGGCGAATTAATTCAGTATTTTTCGTCGTTGTCTTTTTCCACGTAACTTGCATTTCGCGAGGCGTGTACAGGTGTGCAGCGGTACACGTGCCTGTCGTACAGGTAGCGGCATCTCGCGAGCCACGTATTACTCACGGTTCTCTTATACGTGATTCATTCATGCACGGTGGAAATTGTAAATACGTTGATAAGGTGGGGAATATCAGGACTTCCTCGTGCTATCGTCTATTTTCGTACATAATAAGAGGGAAAAAAGTGCAGAGGTTCGGATTTATTAACATTAGTGGAACTGATTTTAGTTTTTACTCGAAAATTGTGACTGAGAAAACTGATGAAAACAGGTGTAGAAAATTTAATGTAATTGTGAAGAAGACTCACTGTGTGTGTTCGTAATCCTTCTGACCTTTTAACCTTGAGAGAGTCCAAGAGGATACCCTAAAAGTACATAGTATGTACTTGGAAATTAGGTGCTTGTATTCAGGAAAGGTCGTTCTTCTTTACAATTGATCTTAAACAGTTCATAAGCAAAGAATAGCTGCAGTAGTGGTTTGATATTTCAATTCGTATACTAGTGTAATCCAGAGGATAATTTCCGTGACCTTTGGTCCTTGAACGAGTTCCTAACAAATGACTGTCCTAAATTACGCTATGACTATGACTTTTCTATTCGAATAGATGCGTTACTTTGTCTTGTTTTCCCACGTTCATATATAGCACGAAAAATTACCTCTATGACCTTTTGACCTTAAGTGAACCATGAACAGAGGCCCCCATCCACAGAGGCCATACCCACATTTGCAAATGAAAACGAAGGCAACAGCGCTCTATTTTTTTCAGAATCTTAACAATAGCCAGATTAATTTTCCTTGCGTTATTACTTGACCTTGCGACACACCACAACGAAACTTGCTACAAAATATTTAACATATAATTACCAGTCACCTGATGGGTGATTTACATGGCATGACTAGAGACTTGAAAGCCTCGGAGCGATTTATGTGAAAAATGACCACAGTTCGTCACTATAGTCCTTATACGACTTAACTATTCTCGCATTCCCTGCTCTGAATTCGCTGGAAACCTAATGAAATCAATTTCTTTCCAGAATAATGACTTCCTTGAAGGACAAATTGTTGAGCACGGTGATAGAACCGATCTCGACCGGTAGGAATAAAGTCTCCGTGGTCGGCGTCGGCCAGGTCGGGATGGCCTGCGCCTTTAGCATTCTAACGAGCGTAAGTATTCGACCGGAGCATTCTGAAAATAGTACCAGATATTTTACATCCGTCTAACCTATCTCGCTTTTGTTGCAGCACGTTTCTAGCGATGTGGTTCTAGTGGACGTAATGGCGGACAAGCTAAAAGGGGAGATGATGGACCTGCAGCACGGCAGCGCTTTCTTAAAGAATGCAAAAATCAACGCCAGTACTAATTACGCTGCAACGGCGAACTCTAGCCTTTGCATCGTGACAGCCGGAGCGAGACAGAGGGAAGGCGAGACCAGGCTGGATCTGGTTCAACGAAACACAGACATCTTCAAAGGCATCATCCCGGAGCTGGTCAAATATAGCCCGAATACGATCCTCTTGATCGTCTCGAACCCGGTAGACATTCTGACCTACGTGGCGTGGAAACTGTCCGGCCTGCCGAAGAATCGAGTGATTGGAAGTGGCACCAATCTCGATTCTGCCAGATTCCGTTTCCTCCTATCGCAGAAATTGGATGTCGCACCCACATCTTGCCACGGATGGATTATCGGGGAGCATGGGGATACTAGTGGTACGCATTCACTTATTAATTTCCTTTCTTTGAACATTTGATGATAAGCTCTTACTCTCCTGAATAATTGATCGATAAGTCCTTACTGTCCTGAACAGTTGATTGATAACAGTCTGTCAGCTCTGATAAGAATACATACTCGAGTGACAAAGGTTCTGGACAGTCCCATGTCTATTGAACGAGTCATCACTTATAATGTATTAAATTACTCTGATCTACTGTGAAGTTATTCCGGTTAAAAACAACCATGTGATTAAAGTGAACTCTACGTTTATTGTGTTATTATCGTCACTATGCATGATAGTTACTTATAATAAAATAAAAAAATATTTGCGTTGAATGATGAATATTGATTTATGCTGGAAGGTGATTAGATATAAAGTTTCGATTGTAATTTCTGTTGCTGCTCAAAGTGATATCTGGTGTTTGAATGTGGCACTTTTCAGTAAAGTACCTTTTGTTGGCATTTCTGTTCAGTACCGGTATGGTCGGGAGTGAACGTCGCCGGCGTGCGGTTGCGCGATCTGAACCCAGACGTGGGTACCGACAAGGACGAAGAGCAATGGGGCAATATGCACAAACAAGTAGTCGACAGCGCGTACGAGGTGATCAAACTGAAAGGTTATACGTCGTGGGCAATCGGGCTGAGCGTATCGCACCTCGCCTCGGCTATACTGCGAAATTCGAATCAAGTCCATGCGGTGTCTACGTTGATTACCGTAAGTCGATAACTCGTATTCATTGCGTTACGCTAAAATTGTACACGACAATTTTCCAATGAAGTGAAATGTTCAAACTAATTCAAAAAATTGTTCGTATATTTATGAAACTTTTTACTACACTGAATGTCGAATAACAAAAGAAGTTGTTCTATTTTTTTTTACTATTAATGGATTATTGATAAAATGATTTGAATGGCATTTTGTGATTTTCAGGGGTTCCACGGAATTACCAAAGACGTGTTTCTGTCTCTGCCTTGCACTTTAGGCGAAGGAGGAGTGACGTGTATAGTCCAACAAAAGTTAACGGAAGACGAGCGCTCTAGGTTGAACAATTCAGCGGAGATGATGAGCAAAGTTCAAGAAGGCTTAAAATTCTAGACATATTATCTCGTTTTGCGTGTTACCGTAATACCTCCGCCTAGATGAATTGCATACCTCACCCGTTTCTCATCCGTGAACAAGTATTATTTTCCTCGAGCCATTACCCATCATTTCTACGTACGTTTTGTTACTTATTTTTTTTGTTACAGAACTTATGAACACTTAAGAGTATTTAACATTGTGAAATGTGTTTCGGATGTGTCGGGTCGAATCTAATTGCACTTTGAGTTGGTGTAACGTGTCTATATGTGTGTGTAATCGTAAGATATTACCGCTGTGCATTGCCACGAAGCTTTATATTTTGTGAGAAATTACGTGGTTTCCCGGTGATTTAAAAAACAGTATTTTAATATTAACTGCTATATCGACGAATAAAAGGAGAATAATCGTAAATCGATCGGAACTGTATTCGTTATTTTGTCACGAAGCGTATTCGAAAATTTGAAGAAAAATCTCACGTATCAGTTTAAGTATTTATGCCGACTGATTTACATTATTCTCGTACGAGTTTCGTATGCAAGTCACAAAATCTTAATATTTCCTTATACTGAGCATATTCTTATTGTGACATTTCTTGTATGTTTATAAGAGTATTTTAATAAATTTAGTATTACCAGTACGTCGACTACAATTTACTGTGCTCATTTTTGTGAGGGTTCGTATTTCGTCGAAACCTTGTAACCATGGATTGTTTAACAATTGGCGAACCAATCGCAATGGCGGATCACTGAATGGGTTATGATCACCAGCGTCCTCTTATTTGTCACAACCGTCAATCAATCCCTGTGCGATGTGATTTACAAAATTGTCAAGCGACAGATGCAATGATTCTATTCTCACGGATACTGTCAATTGCCTCTCTGCCAAAATGCGTGACGTGGGCGATGTGCCGGATACCGAGACGAAGCTTTCGCAGAAACTTTCATCGTCGAAGTTTACCACCGACGATATTGTCCGAGATATTCGCCGGTAAGAAGACAAAGAGAATCACCGCCGCGGACTTCGGTAAAGACGCCACGGCCGGATCCGATTTACAGAGAGCTGTCAGTTATGAGTAAGCGCCATCGTTCTCTAGGATTCAATCAGCTTATCCTACGTTCTGCATGGAACGGATTGTCGCGTATGAAGTGTCTCTTCGAATGTCGATGATCAAATTGTATTGTCGATTTTAGAGCACCATACAATTCGAAAGTATTGAAACCTGTCGTTCGTTTTCTATGTTTACGTTCCGTCATGTTAGTACCGAGAGTTGGATAGATGAAATAAGTCTGCGGTGGAGGTGAACAATGAAAGTTTGAAAGTAGATTTATCACAGTAATCGTGAAACAATTGGAATGATTTGATTGAAGTGGTCGAAGTGTTTCTGGTAGCTCAGAATGTTAAAAGATATGCATATTTAATATTAGATAAATGAATATTAGAGTTTAATACTTTGGGATCACCTTTCAACGGCGCTATACAACGTTTGAGCTCTCGATCGACGGTGAAAGCTTTAAACAATATTGTAGAAAAGAAAATGATTCTTTTTAAGAAAACAAAATAGAGTTAAAGTTCCATTCTGTAACACACGTTGACATTTCATATGTGACGATGCAACAGTTACATCCACGTACAAGATACTAAAGAAAATAACTTGTTCCACGATACTTCGTCTTTCTATTTAGAACGCTATGTCTAAAAGAGGAACTTTTATGCAAAGTCTCGGAGCCGGTCGGGGATTGCTGTCACAAGGTGACGATCGTAGGGGCCGGTATGGTCGGCGTGGCGATCGCGAACGCGCTTCTATTTCAGGTACGCCTCTTTTTCGTCCTACGAATTGTTGGAATACCTAACGACCACCACCATCGAACGTTCAAGTAACACAACGTTTTCTTTCAAACCCAAGTGAAAGTTCGCGCGTGTCGCACGAGACAATTCAAAACGGCGCGAATACGCGCGCAAATACGAATAGGTCGAGGAATATGTTAGAAAAAAACCGGCTTAATGTCCGCCGGGTTGCACAGATGCACCCCTGGAAGATGAAAAGTAGCCATGGCACGAACGCACGTAATTCTTTTCGTTTCTCGTAGAGGATCGTCTCACATATCGCGATCGTGGATGCTTTCCCGAAGAAGCTGGAGGGAGAGGGAATGGATTATTGCCACGGCTCGGTGTTCCTTGGCGATCCGCGAATCGACTACGACACAGGTAACGAAAATCACGAGTCAGAGGGAAAAACCGTCGGAGTTTGTCTGATCTGGATCACTACAAAGTAGAGACATCCCCGAAAATCAGAGTCAGTTGTCACTCATTATATTTTTATTTCTTTAAAACAATTCCAAAAAATGGCAATGGTAACTGAGCAACCCAGAGATGGTCTTCGATCGTTTTTCCCTTCAGATTGTCGATCACCTCGGACAACAAGTGGGTTCTCGTTTCAGACTTCTGCATCACGAGCAATTCGAAGGTGATCATACTGGCGGCGGGCGTGCGGCAGATCAAGGGCGAGACCCGACTGGACTTGGTTCAACGGAATTCGGAGATACTGAAGAATATTGTACCCACATTGATCAGTTACAGTCCGAACGCGATCTTTGTGATCGTCTCTAATCCAGGTTCGGTTCCACGTCGAGAACAGAATTCACTTGGAATAGAAAAAATATTTACCTGACGGGGGAAGTCGTTGCGCGCGCGAACAATATCTAACCCGGGACTAGAAAAGGAACTTTTACTTTCAGTTGACATTTTGTCGTGGGTAACGTGGAAAGTGAGCGGATTACCGGTCTATCGAGTTATCGGAAGTGGAACTCATCTCGATTCAGCGAGGTTTCGTTATCTGATCGCCGATCGTATTGGGATCGCCCCGAGCTCGATTCACGCGTACATTATCGGCGAGCACGGGGACAGTCAAGGTGAGTCGAACGACTCTGTCCATGATTCTACATCGATCATGCACCATTGATTTTTCGTTATTTTCCAAACCGGAGGAGAAAGTCAAACGTTACGTGATTAAACGTTAAACATTTCCTAGTTCCACTCTGGTCCGGAGTGAATGTCGCGGGCGTGCAGTTTCGCGATATATTGCCAAATATCGGCCTGGAAACCGACGACGAAAGATGGTTCGAGGTTTCCAGAGCGGTCATCAGACTGTGAGTTTTGCTGCCACACGTTTGATGAAGTCGCTGGTCCTTGGAGTAAAGGAATCTATGAATCTTTCGAATTTTTTAGAGGTCCCACGGTGAGATGTTTGAAGGGATACTCGAACACGGCGGTTGGTCTTTCGGTTGCAGACATTGTTGACGCTATATTGAACAACACGCAGAGGGTTATACCTGTCTCAACCATGATCCAAGTATGAAATCAGTCTAATAAGTTCAAGTATGAAATTCTCTATTGCATAAAAATTTCCCAGTATGTCTACGCAATCGATGAGATATAAAATTCACCACGAGAAATTTGGAACCTTTAAAGTGCTGATTGCGGAAAATTCTACGCAATAGATTTAAGTATTACTTCGAAGGATGCTGATTTACCAAATTCAGAACTAGTCTTTGAGTATTATAAATATATTATAAGATTCCCTAATTTCTAGGGTCACCACGATATCTGTCACGAGACATTTCTGTCCCTGCCTTGTACTATCGGGGAGAACGGGATCACGAATATCATACGAATGCGTATTACGGAGTTGGAGAAGAAATTGTTTCAGGCGTCGGCGAACGTCGTGTACAACGTGCAGAAGGACGTTAAAACGTGAGAAGCCAGATCAATCTCGAGAATCGTCGATCGGAAAAGTGTACCTTTCCACCATCCCGGAAGCGTAACGTTCCATTGTGGGTTCCATGTTGTCCTTGTAAAAAAAGAAAAACGTCTTTAAATATATCATGTCGTCGGATATTAAATTTTACTGTTCTTCGTCCGTTGCTTGCTTCCCCCGAGTCACACAGCATCGGGAGAGAATCATTGCGACAACTTCCTCGAATTAATGATCCCAGCCGTTTCGACGACCGCTTTTAATGCACGAGGCAAACACGTGCGATGACGAAGCCAGAGAGCGCCAACTGGTGGACTCTTTTCCTTTTCACCTTTGTGAATCACATGGATGTCGGTTTCGACGTGTCGATGACGTCAATGACCTATCTCGCGATCTCCCGGAGACTCCCAGAAGAATTTTCCGTCTCGGCCTGTTTGCATCGTTGCGGTTACTTGTCATCGTGCTCTCGTCTTGTTGTCTGTCGTACTTGACGTTATCGATGATCTTAGATCGGTTCGAGTGCTTAAAATACTCTAAGCCAGTTAAACTCGGGTTGTGCGGTGTAATCGATTGGTATGGGTGACAGATAGGTATTAATGAGCCGTGGCAAAACTTGCCTATTAATAAGGTTAAGAAAGGTTAGACTGGTTACCATTTCGTGACCAGTATCACCGATGACGTTATATTGTCGATTGAAGATAGACGTATTGTTGCAATAGACTACACTGCATGAATGACAGTAGATACACTAATTATGTGTACCACACAGAGGTAGTACCATTTTCCAATTGATGTTTTTATGAAGACAATGGTATGGACATTGCTAGATGACCTCATAACACAACCTTTCACTAAATTGAATACAATTCAATATCCCCTAGGTCCGTTTCTACCCTTTTCCTCTTCATTTTCTAATCATATCAAACATACATACAACCTTTGTGGGACCAGTGTAAACACAGTAATGGAAACACAACAGAAAATGTAATGGTACTAGAATCGGGGATGTTCTTCAAGGTCCAAAGATTATACTGGACCACGCAGTTGTGGATGGTCGAAATGGTCCCCCGTTAAAGAAGCGAGAGTCTTTCTTGTGAAATGTACAATACATTCAGTACATCTCATATGCTTTTCCCAATAATTAAAGAATCTTAATGTTAGATGTCATGGGTGCGCCAGAGACTCGCGATGCAACGGGCGCGTCTCCTTCGGCGGGTGCGCGTTAAAAATGGCGAAAGGTGACCGGTGGATGGTACCAGAAGGTCGTAATTCCGCCGCAGGCTAGGCCACGGCAAGGTGAGAGGAGAGTGCCGCGATCGGCCGCGAGATGTCGCGTTCGAATCGTCAGGTAAGGCGACAGCGGCGCGGTGTTACGGCATTCGAACGGCGAACAGTGCCGTAAGAACGGCACTTTTTCTTCCGAGAACGGTCCTCCGGAGGCGTTCAGCTTCTCGGAATAAAAACGCACAATTACAAAATCCCACCGATCGTTCCAAGGATTTCACGGTGATCGAGAACCCCCGAACGAACTTCGCAGAAATCACTGAACGTCGGTGGCATGATAAAAAAGCGATTAAAGAACCGAAATCGCTGATTCGAGGCTGGAACGATCGGCGTCGCGCGTCGAAATAGTCGCAGGTGTTTGTATCGAAGACGCGAGTTCGCGACGTCAGAGACGCTCTCCTTTTACTCGACGCGAAAGCAGATCCCATTTGAAAGCCGAGGCGTGTCATTGATTTTCAAAGTATTCGCGAACGGTGTCATGTGAATCCTTTCTTCTTTGATTCTTTCCCCGATTCGGCTCTCGGAACCTTATCGCGATTCTGGGTATCGAGGTGAAACAGGTGTTCGAGTATCAAACGGAATATAATGTTTCGACTAAATTTTGTAACTTAGAATTCGTGTTACAATCGACAGTACCTCTGAACTGTGATATCCAGAAATAATTTAAAAGCACCATCGGTCTCGTCTTGCAAAAAGTAAGAACTGTCATCGACAGTATCGTACAAGTATCAAAGGAATCGAGTTCACTGGCAGCCAGTACGTGTCGGTGGCGGTCGGTAAGCGGGCAAGGTAACCGCGCATGTGTAGACGGCACTGAGGCCCAGGTGGAGGTGGCAGGCCGGGCCCCGTTCCCCGGCTGGTCCTGTCGTCTGTCAGTGGAGCTCAGTCAGTAGACAGTCGGTCGGCCCGGTCAGCTGGTTCCGTCTGAACGGTAGTCACAAGAGCTTCCATGAACGTCGAGTCGAAACTCATCCAGCTGATAGGAAGAACGAAACACACTCGACCTGATAGGAATCGGAGGAGAGAGAAACGGCGGCCCGCGCGCCTCATGTGCGCGAGTGTACAGAGAGCATCTCCACCGGAAACACCAACGGTGGCGAGGTGCCGAAGAAGCCAGACACAATAACGCGATAGAACAACGAGAAGATTCGAAGGATAGACCAGCCCGTGGTACGGGACACGGTGGTGTGTACACCTGGTCAGGCAGGAAATGACTATATCGTACGCTAGCGAAGTGCCAAACGGCTCCAGCTTCGGCTGCTTCTGGAGGATTCTGGTCAAGTGAGTTCACGTTACTTTTACACATCGTCGCCGTTGCTTTCGTTCCGTATCGGGACACTGGGGTTCATTGATTTCCATCTGGCATCGCGATACCTGGTCGACTCGTGACACTATTGACAGGTTGAACAGAGATCACCCACGGGGGGGCCTTAGCAACAGGTTCAACGGGCGTCGACACTTCTCTATTCCGTGTATTAAAAATATCACGCTGTCTGCACTTTGTCCCTCGATCGGTAGTACATATACGCCGTTCTTCGTTATTATACACACAACTGTGTATGTAACACGATGGCACGAGTGTGTACCTGGCGCGCTCTCCTCGAGACCGAAAACGAGGTGCTCTCACTTTCATCGCGACGGATTAATTTCACAATACCCAGACGGAAGGACGTTCCCTGATCCGTCTCGTCTGAAGTACTCCGAGCGGATTCCCCCCGTCTTGGTTCCCCTGTTCCGTAACGAGACTTGCAAAATTCCCCCTCGTGGACGGGTTCGTGATTTGGATATCGAGCAGAGTCAAAACGCAAAATACATACTCGTATATTCCCGTGACGAACTTTCGACACGCGTGCTAGCTCGAGCCGCGGCGCGTTCCAAGATACTGGAGCACGGTTCTAAACGGTCTTACATAGTCCCCGTGTACGCCGTGTAAGACGAAGATATTGCGATATTGCGACCGGTGGTGCGATTGTGCAACGTGTGTTCAACTTTCGACTGGCTCGGTGTGTTCTCGATTTAGAGACCGGCTGCACACGCGTCGCGGCGGGGGCGAGTCCTTGGGCAAGGATTCTGCGAAATTGCGCGTGGAAAATCGATGTGATATACTCCGGTTTTCCGAACGATCGGGAGAACACCTGGTCAGGTGTCACTCTGTCGATGCATTTTCTTCTGTTATTTTCTTATGTAGATCGATAGCTTCGACGTTTTATATCCTGCTTAAACGATCGGTTAGGTTCTAATTGAAACGGACTGACGTGCTAGTCGGGACAGCAATTGTCCTGATTTTTTTGTACCACCTGGGAGCCGTACGGTTACGTGAATCACAGTGGCGGAGCACGTAAAACCCGCTAGCACAGAAATGGTGCTCGGTCGACGCTTGCTGGTGCGTTTTAAGGAAATAAGGTCGTCGATACATTGATTTTAGCCGTAACGACGCTAGCGCGCTCGTTGCGTGGAATATCGCCTCGCGCGGCGCGGGATTTTCGTTCCAGTTTTCGCTTGTGTTGAAACAGGACGATAGGCGGTTGAACGCGAGCGTATTACCATTATGTGCAACATGCATTGTAACCAAGTGTACGTACACCTCGGACAATTGTGTTGCCGTGTACAAGACTGATTTACGGGAACCGTGGTAACGCGAACTTCAGAGTCGCTGAATATAGTGACTCGCGGAATTTCATGTATTCACTTTCATATATTCGAAATCCTGTAAGATTGATTTACCGTTGACGGACAACTCTAACTCTGGAGATACAAAGACGATCCTTTTCTAGATATTCGTGTGAAATTTCTCTGTCGCTTTGAATTTGATGAAACGTATCCGGCATTAATGAATAATGTAATCTCTATTTAGGAAAGCTGGATTCACTCATCTGTTAACGACAAGTAGTAACTTTCTAGTCTTCGAGTGTTATAAAACTGAGCGATCGTTGATAAATAAGTCAATTCATGGCTGGAAAAACCATCGAATTATTGCACAACTTTCCTCGGAAGCTCGTGACATCAACGCCCGCGAAGAACATTGCGCGTTAAACTATATAGTCGTACTATAATTCTTATGCAAATGTACCAGCGACACGTCGCGGATTATTCGTACACATACGGAGGACAGGTTTGACGATCCATGCGAGTGTAAAGATCTGGCGGCGGTTCCAGGAACGGGCCAGAATCACTTGATTAAATAGTAACCGTTTCAACGGTATCGAGACACGTCGATGCTCGCGAGCGTGTGCGAAACGGAAATACAACGAAGAAAAGGGTGAAGGATGCATGGAAATAACGAATGAACAATACAGTATACTATTTTTGCTGCTCGAATAATCCTCTATAAGTGGAAATACCAGGATCCTTCCAGCAGGATATTTTAATTAAAAATAGAAGAGACCCATAGAAGATTAAGGCTTTCAGGTTCTTAATTACTCTTATCGATTCCGCAGGTTATTAATATCAGCATGAATAAAACATTTTTAGAACGGTCATTGACTCTATCTGATGATTAAAATACAGTCACAGCTCATTTTTACAAGAATTCTTCACTCCGCCAGAAGTATCACGCTCTAAGAGATCCAAATTATCTCTAATTTATTTTTTCATGAACCACCAAACTTTCATTGCCTTCGAATAAAAGAAGAAACACTTTCGAACTGTTTACCGGAATCACTCGCGAAACAACCTGATATTTTCCTCCTCTTGACACTCGCATCGAACGGAAACGAGAAAAACACAGATTACTCATGCTCCAAGGAATATGAGCAATCGGCATAAAACAGAGAATACATTTTCCCCGAATGATATCAATAATTCCGTACGCTAATCGAGGATATTAATAAAGGTGGCTGGCGACACGACGAATTCCGGCGGGGTAGCGTCACGGCAGTGCGCGAAATTCCGCCGTTCGTGAAAACGCTTATACTATGTATAATCGTTCCGTCGATTGGTTGCATACAATTTACAACGTCCTTGCCGAAGCTCGTTTGTTGACATTTCCAAGACCTTTAGCAAGGCGCGTCGCGTCGGTGGATCCACGATCTCGGTTTCTCCTCGGGTTCGCGGGCGCCAGCTTGAAAACGGCCTTAACTGCTTTCACGTAAGGTCTCGCTTTCCTCGGCTCGTTACGCGCGCCGCCGCTGCGATGGTGTACGCGTCTAACAGGAGAGACGCCCGACGTCGTTCTATAAATACCACGTGGAACGTCCAGAAATAGAAAATCCATCGGTGATAGCACTTTGACGACGCGATATCGCGGCCCAGCATCTCAATCGTCGCGGTCTTGATCTATTATGAGGGGCTGACAACCTTTCCCTCTTGCCACGAATGGTCCGAAGTGGACCCGAGTACATCGCACTCATCGAGACATTACTGTATATACCGCCTCATCCTCTAATATTTCTCCTTTTCCCTGTGCATTCTTATCAGGAATATTCGCGATTCGATGTTCCTTGATCGTGGTCACGTGCTTCTCTGCATACCGAGCTGTTCAATCATATTTTCGCAATAGATCACCGCGCCGGCTCGCGTGCACGTTCACAGAGCGTGTTCGAACGAACCCAAGAGCACAGGGTGACTTCTTGCTGCCGCACGCTCAAGGTTGCGCCATTTTACCTTTTATTTCTCCGTACGTATGTACTACACGTGTTCCCGCGATTGTATACGCGGTACGCCCACCGAGCGCACTCGCGCGTACGATAGGGAGAAGAAGAAAAAAGAGGAGTATCAGAGCAAGAGAGGGGCAGATGTACCAGTTACGAAGATAGAAGACCTTCCAGTTTGCTTTTGCGGGTTTCATTGCCGCCGCGAGGCACGCGGGAAAATCCTTTTTCTCGTGCAGGTCTTCCGGAGCGCCGATCCACGATCAGCTTTCCTATCCGCCCGACCTGGGGACCGGATGTCCAAAGAGCGCAACGCAAGTCCAGGAATCGTGTTCTATAAATACCACCGAGAGAGTCCAGAACAGTCTATAAATACCCGATCGCGTGGCCAGGAATAGAAAATCCTGGTTTTCCAACTAGAAATAGCAAATAATCGGACCGTACGGATTCTAGCGTGCCGACGAATCTGTTACGGGGCTACCAACTGCTGCGAACCCGGTCATTAAGTTAGATGCGTTGATTGACTGTTAGGATGCCCGAGTTCGCGTTTAAATCTTGCTGCAGCCGGATTGAGACCACCAAACAGGGGGATCATCAATGACAGGAGCTGTCTGTGTGCACAGTAGTTTACGAGCATTCGTTTTTCGCACAGTTTCCTCGATAGGCGAGCATCGATGAAAAACGATGTGTGCACCAGTACTTAGACAGGCAAGCGTAACAGTTGCGCCGATCACGCGCGCTAAATAGACCCGGCGCGTGAACGGAAGAGCCGCGGCGGCGAATCGCGCGCGTGAAAGCAAGAACGGTTTTTCATAGAGCCGCGGAATGCTGAACAGGATTAAAGCTCGGGAAACGGTGAAATCAATGGAATACGGAACGGTGAACAGGGTTAAGCGTTGGGTTCACGGTGGGACGAAAGCTGGGAAATGGTGAAATTGAAGGGTTGAGCTACGGTCTTGAATGTTAAGGACACGGTATCCATCTTTTTGGTAAGGGAATTGATAGAAGAAGAATTGCAGATGATTTGGATCTGATTTATTTGTTTTTGTTTTATATAAGCCACTCGTGGAAATCCACGATTCTTTGATAAGTCTCGAAGGAACGGTAATGAGTATTGACAATGGGTCAATTAAAGGATAGAATAATATCAGAAGAATCTTTGTTTAAGACAGTTGAGACGTTTGGTTTCGAAAGGAACCATAAGTTCAGGGAACGTTTCAAAAGCAATGATTCATGCATGTTAATTAGGCGGACGGTGATCCAGTATAGTTTGAGCGTTCTGTGACCGGTTGGTACAACTTTCGGGTTTTGGGCGTTAATTCTACTGATCAATATTGGTGATTGGTCAGACAGTCAATATTGCCGATTTACAGTTGTGTTAACAGTAAATGACAGCTCACGTAGACGGAATTAAGTCATTTTGTCGATCGGAGTCAGTTCTATCGTAACCTACTAGTTGCTAGTAACCAAATAACACAGTGGGAATGGCCTCGCTATGACCCTCAGTGTACAATCAATATTACTTAAACTATGTATGAACAACTCTTCAAACAGTGATTTAATCTTACAAAGAGAAGAACCACCACCCAAGCATAGAATTTTTCTTAAAAACTGGTCATACACGAACTAACATTCAACTTTGTCAACGTTCTCCATTTTAATCCCTATATTCATGACCACATTAATACGTTT